TATGATTCTTTTTCTCTTCATTGTTTTGATGCTGATGTGTTATCAGTTTCCAAAATTAAGAGCAGGAAGGGCAAAGATGAAGGATCTTGCTGGAGTTGGAATGGGGGTTATTTTTTCGTAATTGTTTTGCACTTCTTTCATTCTTTGTTTTGGAATGTCTTATTTTTCTAGTTTTTCGTGCAGTATATTGCTTTTTGATTGCTTTCTGTGCTTATGTGTTCTTGTTTCTTGGGTCTCCAGATGCTGCTGTTTGAAATTAATAGCAATATGCGGGGAGAATGAGATCTTATATAGCTCTGTTCTCTCTTTATGGATGGAGCTTGGGAAGGAGAGGTTGCCATTTAATTTGTCTCTGTCTCACATTTACCCAAAATTTGCTTGAATGGCACAAGAGAACTACAGGTTTGTGTGGTAGTTTTATTGGTTTGGAAAGATTCTGGTGATTACTTGCTAGTTTTGAAAGATTGTGAGTGTCCTGAAGGTTTGTGTGGTCGCTTTTTTGGTTTGGAAAGATTCTGGTGATCACTTGCTAGTTTCAAAAGATTGTGAATGTCCTTGCTGGTTGGGACAGTGATTATATGCAGCCATTTTTCTTTTGTTTGTGATTGATTGCTGTATGTGTGCACCTGTGACTGTAGGTTGCAGAAGATACTTTTCTGGTTTTTCAAGCTCTGCCACTGGCTTACATGTCATTTGTGTTTTCAATTCTTGGATATTTGAGGTCTTCTTTTAACTGGTTTGTATAAATGTCTGAAACATGTTAGTTAGAGAGGATTTCAAATTGAAAGGTCTTCTTTCAATTTTTTTTTTTGTTCTGAGTTTGAGTTCTTATTGCAGGATTTATATTCTGTTGGGATCTGTTTTTGTTTGTAGGTTGGAGAGATTCATTAGAGTTTACATGTTCTGTCAATTGGGATTTTTCTTTTCTTGTGGTTCTTAGTGTCTGATTTGGACCTTTGCATAGTTTGGAACTTGATTTTTTTTTAAAGACTAGGCAACAGAAATGAAGCTTCTTGTTAGAAATTTTTTTTATGTTTCTTTTTTTAATGTTAGAGCATGTTCTTACTAATTTAGTTGGCACAAGGTAAATGTGTGGAAGATGTGGCCCATTAAGGACTTCAAATTGGTTGAGCTTTTGTTTGACCTTCATCTTCTTTTTTGGAAACTTGTCCTTAATATCTGTTCACGTGATGTTGGCTTTCATTTGCAGTGGTTCGTTGGCTGGCCATCCTGATGGAGAAAATTGATAAGTCTTCATTTCTTGCTATTGGATTGTTTTTTACTGTTGCAGGATCTTTCACTTTCAGATTTTATTCAAATAAAAAGTTGTTTGTCCTTTGTGTTATTTGTTTTTTGGTTACCATCTTTTTCCTTGTTTTTTGGTTTATATTGACTCTTTGTTTTCATAGGCTGCCGGTAACAACTTAAGTTGTGGAGATTCTACCTTAAGCACATATGGTTATGTATGTTATTTTTTTAATATTTTTCCATCCTTGTTTCAGGGCCTATATTAGTTTTTAATGCTTTTAGTATCTTTTACAGTTTAGTTTGATCAGGCTTTCTTGGATTTTCAATTTTGGAATACTGTTTCAACTCTCAAGGAGATTTGCTTCCTGGTTCTTATTGTATTTCTTTATAGACTTTTGTTTTCAAGCTTTTAGAACCTTGTGGAGTTATGTTACTGAGTGTGATATGAGTTTGTTGACCCTATTTTTATTTTGGATTCTACCTTCAGCACATAACACTTAATTTATTATATG